GAATGCATGGGGCTCTGCTGAGGGATGGACAATGAGCCAGTCAAGAGCTTATGGGTCAGGACTGGTGGAGATTTCAAGATGGGCAACATTCAGGGGGGTGTCTGCTACGGACCACCTGATCAGGAAGAAAAACATGATACAGCATTCAGACAGCTGGAAGACACCTCATGTTTACAGGTTATAGTCCTCACAGGGGACTCCAACCAAGCTGTTATCTACTGGACAGACGACACAGCAGGGCACAACCAGTCCAGGAGGTTTCTGGAATGCATTGATGATAATTACCTATCACAGGTGATAGAGGAACTGATGAGGAGAGACATGCTGTGGGACTGGAGACTTACAAACAAGAAAGAATTGGTCAAGGATTTGAAAGTCAGGGGCAGTCTTGACTGTGGTGACCATGAGAAAGTCGAGTTCAGGATCACGAGAGCAGGAAGAAAGGAGCAAAGCAAGATCGTAACCCCAGGCTTCAGGAAAGCAGACTTTGGCCTGTTATGGGACCTGCTTGGAAGAATCCCAAGGGAGACAGACACAGAGAGGAGTGGTCCAGAAGAGCTAGTTGATTTTCAAGGATCCTCCAACACCTCCTCCAAATTCAAAAATGGTCCACCCCACGTGCGGGAAGTTGAGTAAGAGTGGCAGGAGGCCTTCACAGAGGAACAATTAGCTCCTGATGATGCTCAAATGTAAAAACAAAGCATATAAGAAAAGCAAGGAGGGTCAGGTGACCCAGAAAAAGAGGGCTATAAAGACACTGTCCGAGTATGTAGGGACAGGGTTAGGAAAGCCAAAGCCATGTAGAGCCGAATCTGATGAGGGATGTGAAGGGCAACAAGAAAGGCTTCTGCAGGTTCATCAGTATTAAAAGGAAAGTAGGGTAAATGTAGATCTGCTGCCAAATGGGGGTGGGGACTTGCTGACAAGAGACAGGGAAAAGGCTGAGGCACTCAATGCCTTTTTCACCTCACTCTTTACTGGGACATTTGCCTTCAGGAATCCAAGGCTCCTGAGATGCATGCAAAAGCCTTGAGCAAGGAAGACCTCACCTGGAAGAGGATCAGGTTAGGAAACATTTAAATAAACTGGACATATATGAGTCCATGAAGCCTAACGAGATGCCCTCAGAAGTGCTGCAGGAGCTAGACAATGCCATTGAGACCACTTTCAAATACCTTTGAAAGATTATGGCAACCAAGGAATGTTTCTGAAGGACTGGAAAAAAGCAAATGTCACTTCTATCTTCAAGAAGGGCTAGAAGGAGGATCTGGGAGACTACAGGCCTCACCTCAATCCCAGGGAAGATGGAACTGCGAAGCTATTTCCCAACATATTAAGGACAATAAGGTGATTGGGGCTAGGCAGCAAAGATTTATGAAGGGAAAATCATGCCTAAGCAACCTTAGAGCCTTCTTCAAGATGACTGGCTTGATAGACAAGGGTATTAAGTTAAGACTTTCAATACTGCCTCCCATAACATCCTTATGGATACAGTGATGAAATATGGACTAGATAAGCAGATAGTAAAGTGGAGGGAAAACTAGCCAAACTGCCAGACTCATAAGGTTGTGATCAGTGGCATGAAGTCCAGCTGGAGGCCAGTGGTGTACCCCAGGAATCAATACCGTGGCCAGTACTATTCAACATTTTCACTAATGACCTGGAGAAAGGGACAGAGTGCACCCTCAGCAGTTTTGCAGATGATGTAAATCTGGGACGAATGTTTGATACACTGTGTGGTCATGCTGCAATTCAGAGACACCTCAATGGGCTGCAGAAATGAGCCAACAATAATCTCATGAAGTTCAACAGAGAAATGCAAAATCCTGTACCTGGGGAGGAATAACCCCCTGCACCAGTACAGGCCAGGGATTGACTGGCTGGAAACCTGCTCTGCAGAAAAGGAGCTGGGGATCCAGGTGGACAAGCTGAACATAAGCCAGCAATGTGCCCTTGCAGCAAACGAAACCAACAGCATCCTGGGCCACATTAGGAAAACTGTTGCCAGCAGGTCAAAAGAGGTGGTCCTTCCCTTCTATTCAGCACTGGTGAGGCCACACCTGGAATTCTGTGTCCAGTTCTGGATTCTCCAGTACAAGAAAGACAAAGATATACTGGAGTGATTCCAGTGAAGGGTCAGGGAGATGATTAATGGATTGGAGCATCTGTCATATGCAAGAGGCTGAGAGAGCTGGGATTGTTCAGCCTCCAGAAAACTCAGGGGGCATCTTGTTAATGTGTATAAACACCTCATGGGAGGGTATAATGAAGATGAAGCCAGATTCTTCTCAGTGGCATCCAGTGACAAGACAAGAAATGTGTACAAATTGAAATACAGAAAATTCCACTTAAACATAAGAAAAAGCTTTTTTACTGTGAGGGTGGTCAAACTTTGGAACAGGATAACAGAGAGATTGTGAAGACTTCAACCTTGCAAATACCCAACTGTGCATGGTCCCAAGCAACCTGCTTTAACTGACCCTGCTTCGAGCAGTGGGGGTGGACTAAATGATCTCTAGAGGTGCCATCCAACCTCTACTATACTATGACTTTGTGATTGTGTGTTTGTGTGAGTGTTTAGTATTTAGTATAAACAACACAGGCAGAATCAGTCAGTATAAGAACTGGGATTTACGTACTTGTGCTCTTTGTATCACAAACATCAACAGGAAAGTTTTGGATAGAGTATTTCTTCAGAAGGTATCACTTTGTAAAAGTAAATTTATTTGCAGGGCATGTAAGTATCAAGAATAAATCAATTTAGTTAAGAGGGAACAAGACATGTTAATGACTTAATTGCAATTGAATGTCTCACTTTGTATTCTCAAGTGATTCATCTCTAATTTTTTAATTCAATATTATTTTATTGGATGTTCTCAAGTGTTCAAAGCAGTGTTTTCTGTTCTATTTTACAGACAAAAAAATGGTTAGTATTTTCCTCCAATGAAAAAGGAAAGCAATCATATCTATGAGTAGCAATGAAAGTATTTGCATGTGTTGGACATAATTCTCTTATCTAATCTGCACTGATTTAATTCTGTTGGATTTAAGACTTCATCCACAAATCTTTGAGAAGAGTGGAGAGATTTCCATTGACTTCAATGGAGCTTTTGCCTGTGAAAGGACAACAGGGTTGGCTCCAAGGGAAACAAGATAAGGTCATATTGAATATCAAATATTTACACTGGTCAGTGAAAAAGAGTTGGTATTATAGTACACTGACTGAACACATTTGCAGAGCAATGGTTCCATGTCCAGTCACATGGCAATCATATCACCTAGCTATGCCCAGGGAAGCAACCCCCGGTGGTTATTGCAGAGATCCAAAGGAGAAATTGTTCATTAACATTTACTAATAATCCAGTCCTCTTCAAGCTACTTACAGGCCTTAGGAGACAAGTATGTATTTAAAATAAAAAAGGTATACCATGAGTGCAAAAACAAGCAAGACTCAGAGCTGGACAAATACCAGATGCTTTGTTTTGCATTGTCTGTACAACACTGATCTAGCTGAGAACTAATATTTAGGTAGTGGCCATCTGCCTTAAAAGGTACTAGGAGAAGTTGACATTTAGAAGAGTAAGTCAACAGAACAAGTACTAGGGAGAATCCTTTCTAGTCAACTCTGTAATAAAAAGAATTTTCCTAAGAGAATTTTAACATTTAAAGATCAGCTTGAAGGAACACTTTAGGCACAGCAGACTAATAAAAATCCCATTTTATAAAATATTTACTTGCTTTGCAAGTAGCAAAAATATCACATGAAATCGGAAGTTATGAAGCTTTGCCTTAACCAGTTCAGGGGAGGAAAGGGAATTATTTCCAACAGCAAGCCTCACGTGAAACAAAAGAATTATTTTATTATTTCTAGCAAGAACAGAAAACATTAGTTGTACAAAGTGTTAGATCATATTTAACTATGGATGTAAAGCAGAATCCTGCCTTCTAAAAGCTAATCAGTGTGGGTACTGATGTTTGTAAGGTCTAGCTGCACAGCCTCCAATCCACATTTTCCTTAAAATCTTTGGAAACCTCAATGCAGTATTGAACATTACACTACAAACCCATTTTTCTTACCCCTGGCATAATGATCTTCTCAATGTCTTTAAAGACATCCTCAAAGCTCTCAGGATCCTGGGGTGCACAGTCCGGAATGAGGGGCCTTAGATATCCTGGTTCCACATCTGGGAAGACCTGTCTTTTATCTATCTTCTCCAGGTAATCTGCAACATAGTCCACCATCTCCTTCCCTCTCTTGCGGAACTCTGCAGCATCCATGGGTATCAGAGTTTAGGACTTAGTACCAGAAAAACCCTAAAAAAAAAAAAAAAACACTTTTGAAAGAAAATAATACTAGTTTTAAACCTGTTGTTCAGATGATTTATAAGATGACTCATATGGCCTTTTTGAAAAGACCACATGCTCTTTTATTTCTGCATATTCGGCCAATGCCCATACAACTTGAATTCTGCTCCACTCCAGTATTAGCTGGACATTGTATAGAAGTAAATCTTCGATGCCTGTGTCATCATATAGATTAGATTAATACAGATTGGCTGTATCTTTAGCACAGAAGAGCAGTAGAGGCACATTGATGAAGACTGAGCAACCTGGTCTAGTGGAAGGTGTCCCTGCCCATGGCAGGGGGGTTGGAACTACATGATCTTTAAGGTCCCTTCCAACTCTAACCATTCTATGATTCTGTGATTCAGAAATCACAGATTTAATCCCTACTACTGCTGGTTGACACAAGGATGTGGCGTATAATCAACTCCCTCCTGCCTTATAAAAATGAGGTCTAAGGAAATAGCATGCTGTGTGTCTCTATTATAATCTATAAAAACGAGCTATAATAATCACAGTTATCACAGTGATCCACTGCGCTGCCCTGTCATTTTATCCACTTCTTGCCTCCTGTCTTGCCTCAAGATTTAGCTTCTTTACTCTTTTACTGTAAATGTACATGCTGTGCCATTTACAAAACCTTATTTCTTACTGAGGTTTCAGTTAGAATTCACTTAGAGTTGATCTGTACTGTATTTTGCAGCAGGTTGTGAGGAAGCTCTGTCTGGGACTGTCCCTATTTCCAAGGTGTTGGGCTGGAGCTCTAGGTGTGCTTTGAGCTAGGCAGAAACTGTGGGAGCACACCCAAGGCAATGTATGGCTCACCAGAGATGAGCTGGAGTTTGCCTGCAAAGCGGTGTGCAAATCTAAAATCATATTGCTAGGGTGCCTGCGCCTGCCACCCTGACCCTCCTAACTTTTTTACTGTATGTGGCTTTGCATTTGGAGTGCTCAGTGAATACAAGGTCGAGACCACAGTGCCTAAAAAACGTCCAAGAGTCTTTATACTTTCAGATGAAGTGAGTGATACTGTTCCTTGGGATCTAGCAAAAAAATTGGCAAGTGAAACAAGGATACTCACTGCTGGTGTAAAGAACTACTACGCTTAGTTCGCATACCTTCAGATCTTCACTTCGTAAGGAAATAATTATATTAAGCACAATGTGAATATTATGCAATTAAGAGACAATTTCTTAGGTATCAGCTATTTGTGCTAAGGATTTATAACTGAGGACATCAGTTTGAGAAAAGAGGAACCCTTCTGGGCTTTATTGTATTTGAATTAGTACCGTCACATTACAGAAGAAAGACATCATTGATAAACACCATCCTAGAGACATCTCTGCTGCTACAAATAGAGGATCTGAGATTTGTGAGGAGCAGCTGCTGCTGCTATTTAAAAAGGCAGGGTGCTGCTGTAGGTCACGAACCACTTGGGAACGCAAGGATCTGCACAGTAGGGACTTCCAGCCCCCCCAGAGAATAGCTGTTCTTATTGCTAATTTGTTAGAGTTTTATTACTCTCTTCAACCATCATGTAAGTGTTTATTTGGCATGCTCTATGCCTTTCTGAAAGGGGAATTAGGACCTTTCTCAGATCTTGCTACTAAGTTGCCGGAAACACATTACCAGTGGTCATTACGGTCCTCAGAGGATTCTGGTGGGCAGCTTTGTGTGTCATCTGAAAGACTGCGTTTAAGCAAACAGTTTTGTTTCCACTCCCTTACAGTCAGGAAGATTCCATTTCTTCAATACTCCCCAAATCTTACGTGCATTTTCATTTAACACATCTTTGATCACAGTTCAAAATTTTAATAAACTTTCTAAATAAGTCAGCATGAACTGCAGCGATCAATATGTATCTCTTTGGCAGCAATCTAATTACGCCCCAAGGCTCTGTTCTTTGGTTTAGATATTTTTGCCGGAAGAAATCTAAATATTGTACTGTTTCACTTCTTTTTCAAAGTATCTCTAACTTAATCCTCAATTTATGCTGTGTCATTATTTCTTTTATGCTACTTCATTCATCAGTTCATTGGGATAGCATGCTCTAAAGAACTTGCACATGGCAATCTGTTCTTTTTTCCTCTGGTTTCAGAGATGAAAGCTGTGAAAATAGAATTTAATCCATGACTGCCAAATCAGTGAGACTTGCCTGAGACCGAACTGACTCAGAACTTGAGAATTTGGTGTTTCTAGCACCACTGTTGCTCACCACTGAGTTACAGTTATTCCTACAGACTTTTACACATGGATCAGTTCAGCTGAACATCTCATTATCTGTGGGTGCAATGAACTGTCAGTACAATGTCAGAAGAGGTAAGAGTATCACTTTACTACTCTCTAGCTTTACTTTGTATCAATTCAATATAGGGCATAATTTAAAATAGAACCTTCTATGGAACGCTTGGTCTTTTCCCAAAATATCAATCAAACGGCATAAATTAAATAGCATCACGTGCAAGCTCAAAACAGCTCACAAACACACAGACAAAAATACATTTATTTATCATATTACCACAACATAGATACTACGTTATATAGCTTATGACCATTTTTCTACCATCTAGATTTTTTTGGATCTGAAATTTCTTTTTATTCCAAGTAACATTTGCATCATATTGTTCCTATACAGTATGCTGATATAATTTATTGTAATTTTCATTATTAGCAGTTTGGACAAAGTTCTCTTTGGATATCAGGATAAGCAAATAAAATTCAGATCTAAATATCAGATACACACTCTGTGGTTTCAGCCTATGACCATGGAACTGAAATTTGTCAACTCAGTTTGACAAAATATACATTTTAGATAATCACTGAGATCTTATTTGTTATTTGCGAACTATAGTTCTTCCCAAGAGCTGGAGGTCCACTGGCTCATCCTAACATTGTTTTGGCTGTATTACTTCTGTCATAAATCACTGTTGCAATAGCATTCTCAAAATTCAGGGTAAAGAATTAAATTCCAGGGGAAACCTCTGTTTTGCATGGGAGAGGTAATTGAGCCAGGAAGTTTAAGCATAAAGAATGGGAGGATGAACCATCCATCCCAAATCTGCCACAGTTGCTGCAGTGTTATAAATTGATATAAACTAGCATCATAAGTTAACCTCTAATGAACTTTCAGTTCAGTCATCCAGTGAAATACATCAATCTGCTTCAATCTGAAGCAAAGTATTTCATTCTTCTTTCTCCAATAACAATACTGAGAAATTAAAATCTATCTAAACATCTATCAATTTTTATGTAGCCATGCATCTTCTTTCCTAACAGTCCTTGCCTGAAAATTCCTTACGTACTGTAATACGCATATCTCACCAGGAACTGTGAAGGTATCCTCCGTGCAGGAAGAGAGGTCATTTAAATTTTCCTTTTCACCTCCTATTTTGTATCTTTTTTTTCTGTGAGTGACAAGACCCACTTATACTCTCATCCCTATTTTCATTCTCTTCCTCAACTGCTCATTACAGATCTCACTTCATCTGCTTGAAAGTATTACTTGCTATGGAAGCCACATCCAGTAGACAGAATATCTGACAATTGTAATGCTTACCAGTGAGTACCATAAAAATGCAAATTACTTCACCTCTCTACCAGTACAGAGTATTTCTCTCTTCTGCCTTGCACATGCATATACAACACATGTACAATGCAACAATACAATGCATAGAGAGAGGCCTTCCATCTGTGCCAGTGTATTTTACAAATATATAATGTGATTTTCTAAGAAGCAAAATACGTCAGACTACTCAGCCCTTAGGGTCTAAAAAGAAAACACTGCTTGAGAGCATCCATATTTTCTGAAGGGCTGAGTGTTACAATCTGTGTGTACTTGAAATATCCACTTAAGTCGAAGGGACTTAAACTGCAAAATAATGTAGGCTGAGTTTCTCAAACTAAATGGAAATTTCAGAGAAACTGAGCCTCTCTCTGAAGTACTTAATACCGGTCTATTTTCTTGAAGGCCCATAAAGAGTGATACAGGCTCCATGCTCTCAGGGATCCCACACCTCCCAGGATGTACTTCAGCATATTCAACACCCGCGAGCTGAACCCTAAGTGAGGAGAGCACAGTTTCTCAGGAGGCATCCAGCCTAATTATCAGTCTAAATATCACCACTTTGTAAGCATAGTCTGTATTCAAACAGAATTTTACCAAACATATATTATGCCTGAGTACTTTTGTTGCCATCTGAGTTCAGTGTTACTGGAGAAGATTGAGTTTTGCTCTTAACTTCAGGTAAAAACAAGAGAAAGCATGTTAAATCTTAAATAATATCAATGTATCTTTTTTTTATTATTCATATATAAACTCTTTGCTCTTTAGTTTTGCTGGAATTTGTCAGAGGACAAGTACACTACACAATCTAAAGTTGGTATATCCTTTGCTGCTTTGTTCAAACTACTCCTACCTCAATGCACTGAAATTAGAACATTTTATTTTAGTGAAGGTACTGAAAACTGTTGTTAGTCTTTAGATTGTATATTCAGTATAATGTTCATTTGCAAACCATTTTCTACTTTATCTGAAACTGAACCATACAAATGAGCAGTTTATGCACAATTAAGTATTAAATACATTTATAGGTATAATATTATGTAGATAACATTCAACTTATTCATTATTTCTGTTAAGAAGTATCGTCTGTAATTTTAGAATCTGTTTTTGTATTAACAAAATATAAATTTAAAAGATATCTAAATACCACCAGGAAATTTTTTTATGAGGAAGAAAAAGAGAAAAAAAGAGGAAAAAGACAACAAATGAGGAGAGAGAGGTACATCTGATGTATTATAATTTTATGACTGCCTGTTCTACAGTTCATCAAAGTAAAATAAAAACCAGCTAACATAATAAAATCTTTTAGTAGCTCCTATTATTAAATACAGAAAGGAAGAATGCATAGACACATTGACAGTACCTTAAACTGATAGCTGCATTGGCTCAAAAAAAGTAATAACTGTATATCTTTCCAATAAATGAGACAAGTTCACTTTCTATTCTGCCAGCTGATTGTTGCAGAATATAATGTAAGTAAAGGCTTGTGGTGCTACAGTGACAGCACTGAAGCCAGGAAGACTTTCTGCTCTTGAACCCAACTGAAGGTTTTTGCAGCTGTTGCTACTGTTAAGCTAAACTTTGACTTTTGGCAACAGGAGTATTGCCTGAATAAAGACTGTAGGATGTATTTTATTTCAGCATGAGTAAAAAGGAACTGAATCTACTCTGTACTTCTACCTTTGCACAAGCCAACAACTAGGTATACATGTTACAGGCCCTACATCTCATTTAAAAATTTCATTTTCCAACTAGAAGTTGCTGGTTTTATTAATTGCTGTCACTGGCACAGAGTCTGCAACTTTGTAATTTTCCCTTCTGAGGTCTTATTATAATGATGGGAAAGGGTTATTTCTGAGGAAAACCTCTCCCTAAAAAGTCATGCATTTAATTTATCTTGAAAATGTTATTATTCAAAATATTTGGCAGAGAATTTCTCTTGTTTTTTCAAAACTGTTGCACTTGGAAAGACAAGATATAAACTTTTGGATACATGGGATTCTGCAAAAATGTACATAAACAGTTATAGCTGACATACATCATAGGTAGAAACAAGCAAACACAAAATGACAGATGCACACTACATTGTGCAAACTTAGGTTAAAGAGAAATGCTTTTTGAGTATCCTGGATTATCCCTAAAATAACACAGGCTGGCTGTTTTATTAGCCAAGCTCCCACTCTAGGTAACCAATTGTTGCATTAATCCAAATGTACCTCCTTGAATTCAATAACCACAAAGCTTTAAGGACAAAGAATGTTACTTACAGCAAGTTGGTAAGGTTCTTCCTTCTCCTCCGTCTTTCTCTTTGCTCCTCTGTGACAGCTATAAAGCGCGGAGGATGCAGTTGCCAGCATATATAGGCAGAGTATCCCCGTCCCCTCAGCCTATCACAGCCCAGCGCTTTGCATCCAACATGCAGCAGCAGCATCCTCCCCAACGCCCCCCCTGCCACTGCTCTGTCACCCGAACTGTAAAGAAATTTTTCTGTGTGTTGGAACGGAACTTCCTATGTTCCAACTTGCACCCATTGCCCCTCGTCCTCCCCCACCTCCTCCAAAATACACTTAGTAAAAAAAAGCGACCCAAAAGGCAGACAGATTTGAGTGAGAAACGGCCATTGCCTATGTTAACTGTGAAGTGGAGTGTGTTTCCTTCCATGAGCTCCATTAACAAGTCTGACAGTGAGTGTCTGATCACATGCTCCCCGTCTCCGGGACATTTCTGCTGTGGCTCTTGCTGTAAAAGCAAGTGCTTTGAACCACTTCTGTGAAACACCATTTTCAGGAAAGAGACACAGATATGGCTGAAATACCACTCAAGTGACTGCAAGCTCTGAACGTGTGGAATTAACATCCTCAGATATGCTGTATCTAACTTTTGCCAGTTTCTCTCTTTCATCATACATATACTTAAAAGCGATAGTAAGATTTGTTTCCCTATTCTAAACCAAGTTTTGTGGGGAGTTCTCTTTCCTAGACAAATCCAGGTAACCGCCTGTCATTTTTATTTTGTTCAAGTTTGTTTTAAAACATACTATCAGCATTTCATAGTCCCGAACAGCTTATAGCCAGGTAGTGTGGCAGGAGATCTGGGATGGCCGCTGCTCCCAGGCCGGTCTCTAGTGCGCTGCAGGATTTCAGCCAACCTTTTTGTGAAGGAGGAAGAAGTTCTGGCTGTCACGTATTTTAAAACTGTCATGTGTTTGCTGTTACAATGATATCAGGCCAGTTACAAGTCTACAATTCTAATACAATTCTGAGAGCCTATTCAAAATAAAAACAAGACCTAGAATCCACAGAAAGGCTTGAGGGTGTCATTGCGCTTGTGCTAGATGTTACTCTGTGATCTGAGTCACATTTTCAGTTCTTGGGTTGTGTCTGCAGTAATGATCAGTCTATAATCTTGAATGCATCGAGAAATCCCAGGGTCAGTTGCAGCTGGCTCTCAGTTGTTTTCCACCGCAAATCAACTCCTGAGTGAGCAGGGTTACAGCCTGGGCAAATTGGGACCTCACAGGAAAAAAAGTGTTTTGGAGATTTTTTCTGATTTTTTCTTTCTCCCCGAATTCGACTCAAAAGGTTGAAAATTCAAAATATGTTGTAAGGGTATATAAGAGATGCAGAAACTGAAGGTGTCTCGAGCAAACATAAAGATAACTCAAATCTAACTTCAACATTTCATCCAAATGGCTTGCAAAAGGTAAATAACTTTCAAAGGAAACTAAAATTAAGATCTGAGTATTAAAATGCTGGTTTAATCAATCAGAGTGTTGAAATACCACCTCAAAGTCATCTGATGTGGTTTTACTTTTCTCCTATACCTGTAACTTACCTTAAAAGTTGCTGTGACCAGGCAACAATTGCATTTTCTATTAAAATCATTTTTTTTATTTCTTAGGAAGAAAAAGGAAATAAAATAAGAAAGGTACAATAGGCAATGCCTTTCTGAAAAGCACATTCCATGTCTCTCTATAATTCTAATAATTCTGAGGGCTCGTACTACTTTTCATAATCTTCCTCATCAACTGTTGGCAATACCCAAATATTTGCTTAACAGAGTCTTTATGTGGGGGACAAAAGCAAGATCATTAAGTGTTCCCTAACAGGTGTTGGCTAAGGCAGACCTGCTGTGGCCCTTCCAATTTGTTCCAGATCCTTCAGTGTGCTGGCTCTTTCACAGAGAAGAACTTCTCTTGCTGCTGAAACACAATGAATAAAGATCTCCCCTTTACTGCCAAACTGCTTCAAAATTCAAGATACCAGCGTGTGAGAAGTAACAGATGATCCTAAAAAGTTTAAAGGCCAGAGCTTGTTGGTAAGCAACCAACCGATCATAATATTCGCAGCTAACACCAGAGAGGCTTCACCATGTTTTTGCACACAGAGGTATGTCACCCTGATGATGATATATATAATGACACCGTCCCCATGCAGTAATGGTATCAATTTATTACCATTGCTGATCTCTTTGGTTTGCAAACAAGGCTGGAGAGATAACGTGTTTGAACAGGAGGCTCCAGCACAGCACCGGAGAATGATGCAGACAATGTGTTATCAGTCCCTTTGCAGTCCCATTGCCAGTCCATGTGCACAGATACGGATCAAAGCAGAGGGAGTTAAACAGTTCGTACCCATTTTCCAACAGTTTTCACTTCTTCCATCATTATACAGTACAGATTAGAAATTAAAAGGCTGTTTTCCAAGGCCTTCAGTCCAGTTATGATGAGACGACTTTAATCCCAACTTCATTTTTCCCTCACCTGCATAGCACGACACTCATCTCATGCTAGCCTGCCAGCGTGGCTATGGTTAATACATTTGGTCAAGATGTTTTGTGCTGTAGCCCACTGAGCCTAACATTATTGGAACAAACCTGTTCTGAGCTACAATGTGAAGAGCTTTAAATTGACTCAGATATCATCAATATCTTAGATATTGAGAAAATAACTTGAAACAATTAATTAGGAATCATACCAGCACAATTTTGTGCCTGATTTTAATATCTGGTGTCAAAGGAATAGTCACTGTTGCAAAAGCATAAGAAAAAACACTGCTTTGTTGCTTAGTATTTGGTTTACTCCTTATCCTTAGTTTGAGGATGCTATTTGGAGGCTGCAGGCCTTTTTTCCTGCTTCCCTCGCTGTTGCTCCTTCAGAAAAAAATCCAGTAGTAGAACCCTGTCTGTCTTTTTTTTCCCAACGTATTCTTTCATGAATGTAATAATACCACTAATGGAAAAGAAAATTATCTACAAAAAGGAAACGGAAAGAAAAAACCCTTTAAGAATCACTCAGATATACTGGAATGAAAAGTCCTTATATGTTCCATAAACAAGGTCCCAAATCTGCATGAGCCATAAAAATGAGACAAAACAGGGGAGAGTATTTTAGCAGAAATGTGCAACTAATAATTTTCTGGATATAACAGAGGGTGCATTTCCTTTGGAAGAGAGTAAGAATTAAATAAAGCCTTCAGACACAAATAGATGGATTACTTGCATTGTACAAGGATAAAAACTTAAGTCTCCTGCACAGCATAAGCAGACTTTGCAACAGATTAGCCAGGAGATGAATCTCAGCAAGAGCTGACAAACTGGGAAAGGATCTGTCTTATCCTTCATGAATATTTCATGTGTGACTTGTTTTCCCTGCTCAGTTACGTATTGATGTCTGTGTGAACATGTGAAGGTAAACCAAAAAGGGATAAAAAGGAACTGCTAACGAAGTGAACACGGACAGAGACTCAAACACACAGCTTCGGAGGAGTTAACGTACCACTTGCTGGTTCGAGGCAGCCTAAGCGCTTTACTCTTATGGAAGCAAGCCTACAGAAAAGAGAGAGGTTGTGATGAACTGAAAAAGTGTCAACAGAAAAACTGACAGGCTGTGAAGAGTCACAGAGACAGTGAGAGCAGGCTGCAATCACAGTAGGCAGGCTCTTCCAACACAGAGATAGGAATAGCTTCTGCTGTGAGCTGAGAAGATGCGCTTACCTAGGGGTGCAGGCACTGCTGAGGCACTCGTCCAGCCATATATTGCTCACAGAAAGAATTTTCTTAAGCATTGACCATTGTGAACCTCACAGAAGCTGCGGCTGACAGATGAACTGCTATCAGGGCTTAAATGTGCTATTAAGACCTCATGTCAGAAAAGCAAATTATAGCAGTAAGTTTATGAATGGAATGTGTGGGTGAAAAAACAGACCCAGGTGAAGCACGAGGAACAAGACGGCTTGAGATACAAAGGGAACATAATGCAGTGCTTGCGTTTATGTAAGTGATTTGTTTAGATCACTGTTTACAAAGATATCAAAGATACCGCTTGGTCCACAAGACATTTTGCCACTGTCTGTGATTAATGCATTGTCCTGAGGCCCATGCACTACTATGCACTTCTTGCAATAAGCCTGGAAGAGCATTTGCCACCAATATAAGCCTTGACGAGAACAACGTTGGAGTCTCCTCATAAAGATCACATTGGTGCTCAATTGTCTGAGATTACAGCAAGTACTAGGGCATGGGATCATACTGGTGTTTCTTGCTCTTCCTCCCAGACAGCTTTGTTGCAAAGGTGTCCTTGACTTCCCTTCAGTTCTGTGCTAACATAAGCACCTTTCTAGAAAAGACCAATGCCAATTTTCTGGAGAATTTATGCTTAATGTAACATAAAAGTTACCAAGTACATGGATTTTCTCCAAGAAAGAGAAATTACTTTATGCATATCACAGACGCTGGGGTCTGGAGAGCTGAGTGGGAACTGAATCTTCCACATACACGGGTCTCCCTGGTCATGGACACACATTCACAGCTGAAGCTATAAGTAAGGTAATGTTTGCTACCTTCTGCTGTGGGTTATTGTCTCTGTCTCAGAGGTGACAGTGATGTACGTACACACCTCAGCTGCTGGAGTGCAGTGTGTGATTTTTGCTAAGGAAGATGCATTTATACTAAGATGAGACTTTCCATTGGAGCCATGTGACTGGTATGCCCCACTCCAACACCATTTCCTATGAGAAATGGCCATAAAATGTAAGCGTGCTGATCACGTATCACCTCCTCTCTTCCCCTTTTCAATGCTGTGGTCACCAAGATGTGATGACCCCCATTATAGCAACAGCCAGATCCCCTGTCAGCATTGTGACAAGATTATTTGCCCACCAAGCTTTGCTGTCAGGATGTGGTGACACCCATTATGGGACAGGGAAGTGTAACAGCACATGAGATATTACCTACAAAATCAAGCAGCTGCAAGTCCTGCCGCTGGTCAGCGAAACCCATGATCCCCCAGTGGTCTGGGACATGTACACCACTGTCTTCTTCCTCCACAGACTGAGTGGTGACTCATGTTCTTTTGGGTAAGGTCTCAGTCCAGATTATGATTATT